ATGTGTATTTACACTCTTGAGACAATGGCGGAGCTACATTGAGACCAGCGGGGGCGGTGGCCCCCTGGGATTTGAAAAAAAAAAAAATATAATTAGTTAATTAATTATTATTATTAAAATTTTAAATGTTATATTTTTAATTATTAAAATACATACAATAAAAAAAATCCAATAATAATGGATCGTTTTAGAATCCCAAATATAATTTATATAATTCATTATCCATTTGAACAATTTAACAATTTATTATTATTTAAAACTCACATATTTCAATGTCCACATCTGAATTATGTAAAAAAAGAAAAATAAGTTTTCATGTCTTCTACGTCATTTCTTCAATATCTAACTCCACTGTCCCAGTGCGGTAATACCAATCTCCTTCAACCTTAACCCAACAACTTCAAAAATAGACAAAAGAGAAAATAAGAGACTCCATTGGCAACCCAACACAAACAACTGCAACACTGCTCTCATCATTGAAAGCTTCAAGACAAAAGGACCACTAATTTCTTAGTAAAAACTAAAACAATACTATCTCATTTTATATGAATTATATATTGTCATATTGGGTTTCAACTTTCAAGTTTTATAAGTTTCTTTTATTTTATTTTAAAATTTTATCTTATACTTATTAGTAGATATGTTCTAACAAAAAAATTAATATACTCTCCCCATGTCCCAGAATAATTGATATTTTTTATTTAAAATTTATCTTAGAATAATAGTAATTTTTTTATTTTAAGGAAGATAAATAGTTTTTTTTTTTTTGCTTTAACCCTATAATTATCTCTTAATTTTAATTATTTATCTTCTTATTGAAATAGATATTTATTCTTAATTATTTTTTAAGTATAAAATAGGTAAAGATAGAAATTGTTTTTAAATCCTTCATTTGAAGATAAAACAAAAAATTTGTTATTCTAATATGGAGGAAGTAATATTTAAATAATTAAACTTACTGATTTTTTATTATCACAAAAAATTGTATAATTTCTTTTTAGGATTTAGAGTTGTTGAGTTTACAAATAAAATTGAATATTATGATAATATTGAAGTTATATAAAATAAAATTGGATCGAAGTAAAAAAAAAAAGAAAAAAAAAGAAAGTATAGATCCATAAAGAGAACATATATGAACTCAGTAAAAGGAAAAACCTTAGATATAGTTATATAGATGTCATAACCCGATTTTTCATTCAGTATTAATCACAAAATTAATAAAAAAAACAAAAAAAAAAAGCGCAAAAATATAAAAATATGAAATTTTCTCTTTTCTTTGACTAATATGTCTTTATTTTGTTTCAGGGGTTATGTGTAACGCGAAATTCAAGAAGAAACGGGAAAAGGAAATCAAGACAAGGGACTCGATTGAAGAAATCAAAAGGTGGAAGGGTGAAGTTCATCAAAATGAATTTACAAATCCAACCCAATTACCTAAAAACCCAAACCCAAAACCCACCAAAACCCAAAGCCCACCAAAACCCAAAACCAAGCCCAAATCCAAACTACCCAAAAACCCAATTACCCAAAAAAAAAAAAAGAAAAGGGGGTCTGGAATCCTCCCTTTTCCCTTTGCTCGCCGCGAACAGGCCCTCTTGCGCCCCCTTGCTTGCTACACCTGTCCCTGTGCCCTGCTGCACCCATGCTTGCGCCCTGCTGCACCTGCGCTTGCGCCTTGCTGAGCCCGCGCCCTGCTGCACCCGAGCCTGCGCCTTGCTGCACCCGAGCCTGTGCCTTGCTCCACTGGAGCCTGCGCCCTGCTGCACTGCGCCCTACCCCCTGCTGCAGATCCCCTGCTGCTTGCGTGCACCGAGCCTGCACTCTGCCCCAGCCTGCACTCTGCTGCACCCGGCCGTGCTTCCTGCACCAGCTTCTCTCTGCACCAGCTCCTGCGCTCTGCACCAGATCCCCTTGCCGTGCACTAGATCGCCTGCACTCTGCTATGCCTGTGCCCCTGCTGCGCCCCTGCCTCCTGCACACTACAGCCATACAGAAAAAAACAGCCAATAGCAGACAAAATTGGCATCATTAGTGACTGTTTTTTTCATTTTTATTTCATTTTGTTGCTTGGGTCTATATATAGAGCAAAAGCAGAATACAGAAAGGGGGGTCTTTGGGGTTGATTTTTGAGTTTGATTGGGGGGGGTCGGTTTTTGAATTTGGGGGAGCCTTTGGTTGATTGTCGGAGTTTGATTTGGGAGCCATTGTTCTCGGTTTCGGGAGAAAAGAGGGAGGAGAAAACCGAGCTGATTCCGACAAGGTTCCAGCAATATTTCAGCCTCTTTTTGCTAGGTAATTTCTGAACAGAGGAGCCTTCTGGGAACGATGGTGAAGGAGACGATAGGAGCCTGGTCCCATGGGTGGGATCCCTCCCATCTGATCTGGATCCATCTTACCCAAAAAGCTCCTGCCGTGGGTGTTTTTCTTATTTTGGTTGATGTTTCTACATCTTTTTGTTTAATGTTCAAGCTTGTACATGTTCCGTTTGAAAATCAATGAAAAAAAAAAAAAAAAATTGTTCAGTTTATTTCTGATGAATGTGTTGCTGTTACTGGAAATTACATGAATCCTAGTTTTCTCGCTTGGTTGCATGTTTGATCTTCTTTTTGTCTATTTTTATGCTTGAATGGTGTTTTTGGGTCGGGTCAGTCTGATTTAATCCAATAAAAAAAAAAAACTAAAAAGGTTAAAAAGTAAAAAAGAAATCAAAAGTTATCTCTTTTATTTTAATTTCGCACAATCCTTTCATGTTCAAGCACTTTAGTCCAAAAGTTTTAAACCTTTTCAAATCAGTCCTTTATTTTTATTTTAATCAAATCAGTCCATTTAATTTTTATTTGTGTTTATTGTGCATGCATGTTCTTGATTTTTGTCTATTTCAGTCCAAAAATAAAAAAATGTTTTGATTCGGTTTATCTTTTTTTGCAAGTTTGCTTATTAAGACTCAAATATAAATGTAATAAATAAGTTGAATCAAAACCCCAATGTTAATGTATGCAACCGTGTTTAAACGAAGGATTGTGAGGTGCGTTTCCTCACTCCTAATCGAACCCCCGAACCCCGACTTTGCGCATACTCGTTTTAGGTGACTTGTCCCACCTTATAATTTGGACGAGTGATGACTCTCCCCTTTTCTTTTATATTTTACACTTGTTAATAATGATTTTTCATTATTTTGAAATTTTAAGTGGTCGTCAACAGATTGGCGACTCCACTGGGGACTGAATCCAGAAGCTCTGATTTTCATGTTCTGGATTCATGAGAGTCGAGCTAATACTTTAACTTTGGAGAATTTTTCAGCTTTTGATTTTTCTTTTGTTTGTTGAGTCTTTGTGGGTCTTTGTTACTCGTTGCATGTGCTTCTTGTTTGTTCTTTGTTTCTTGTTGTTTTGATGATTGCTTTATTATTTTGCTTTTGAGTAATTGTTTGGCTACATCTTAGCATGCATCATATTTTGCTCACATGTTCATGCATCATATCATCACATGCACATCCATCGTTGATGTTATATGCTTATTCATCATGCATCATGCTCACATGCCTGTTTGTTTGTGTGTGAATATACTCACCTTTTACACTTGGCTATGAAGTACCTAGTAAATCTCTTTTCTCTTGTGCGATTATTACACCTTGTTGCATGTTAAATGTTAGTTGTTTTGTTTTACTAACCTTTTGCATTTGGCATGGGAGTACTAGGTGAGTCCCTTCCTACTGTGTAAATAGGTGTGTTTGTGGATGCTACATCTATTGAGTGTTTTACATGTTTTATTTTATTGCTGTGGAATATATGTTGTTATTTTGTGGTTGTCATTGTGCAGGTTATTGGAATGTCATACCCCTTGCACACACTCACTCTCATTTTGCATTAGGTCCGTGTAGGAGGTGAACCCGACCTCTAGTCTGGATTCCTTACAAATCTGATGTCACGCCCCAGAACCCAAATCTGAAGCGCGACAGACGCCGTGCACTCGTGAGAGGGTTCCACAAATGCACAAGGCTCGGAATTTAATCATATCCCAATCTGATACCACAAAATTTGAAGATAAAATCTTAAAATCTACTCTGATATTATAAAATCTCCAAATACACTCTAGTTTACAAGATCATGATTTCTATCTAAAATCTATATCAATCTTGAAATGGCTAGCCTTCTAACTCATTACTTCCCGTGGTTTCCCCATTCTCGGTTTCGCTTCATGAAATGGTGGACAAGGAAAAACTATGAGATAAACTCAGTAAGTAAATATGAAGTGCCCTTATTAAACTTATAGCATGCCAACAAGTGCAATCATGAAAAACAGATACAGTACGGGAACGAAATAAACGTCTCCTCTATAGGTCATGACCAGTGTTATAAGCCTCCCACTGACAGGCTACAGTATTTGCTGGTGTATAACCCCCACTAGCAAGGTTGAACGAACCGGTTCTATCAATAACATGTCGACATGTGCTAGCGTTTGACCATCACTAGCAGGATTATCAATAACATAACCAAGTCGGAGACAAAACGGTAGAAGTTAACAGAAAAATCATAATTCACAATCACTTTCAAATCATCAGGACAGTCCATTAAACTTTCAAGTAGGCATGCTCAATTTATGAAAAGCATAAAAATTTGACTTCAAATCAGTCATGCTCGTGTAAAACGGGTTTAGTCCCACCACCACTTTAAAAACAAATCAAAACATGTTTTTAAAACTATACGAGCATTACCATAAATTTACTTACATCACTCACATAAAACCGAGAACTCAATCCCAGTGCTAAATTGACAGAATGATCAAGAACCTAATCAAAATATTTAAGGATTAATTCTATACTATCACAAATTTAAAGTGAAACCATCATTAGGACTACTTCTAATCACGATGCTACTTTTATCAGTCTCCACATTATCAATATCTCCAAATTCGTTCTTATATCGCAAACTAAACATTTAAATCTCCGTTAATTGTTTACCCTCGGTGTGTGAACAGTAATCTGTGAACAGTACCGGTGAACAGTAACTCCAACTTCAAAAAAATTGCCCAAACCACTAGCTAATTTCACGGGATTTTCTTCAAAAATCACACAGCAATCAATTAACACTCAATCACCTAAATTTCACTTGAATTAATGCTTAAACTTTATCCTAAAGCTACCGGAATTCCCCCATTTTTCCAGCACAATTCGGACACACAATAGGGCAGCAATTAAAAGCAAATAAATGGACAAATTCGAGGGCTTGGAGGGCTGCCACATACCAGAATTCTCCAGCTAAAACCGGAGCTGCAGTTGGGGAAGTTGCCGGCGGGAATTTGGAGAAGAAGCTCACGGGAAATCCACCCAAAAATTGAAGGAACAACACAAAATTAGAGTAAACCCAAGGCAATTAAAGCTGGAGAAGGGAGATTCATGGCTATTTCTTACCAAAAACGGGAGCAAAACACACCCCACAAAGCAGGAGCAGCCGGCGGTGAAGAGGAGGAGCAGAGCAGATCCGGATTTTCCAGCAGGGGGAAAGAATTTCTGGGTTCAAATCTGGTTTTTGGACAAGAAAAGAAGGGAAAAACAAGCCTCCTTACCGGTTTTCCAAGGCATGGCCGGGTTCCCCTTTTTTTTTTTGTTCGGGCTGCAGCGGGAAGAAAGAAGAGCATATGCGCGGGCTGAAGGAAGAAGAAAGAAGAAAGAAGAAAGAAAGAACAAGAAAAGAAGCTCATCCTTATCCAAATTTTGCCTCTTTAAGTCCCTCAACTTTGGATATTTTGGCTATTAAGCCCAAAAAAATATTTCTTTCTCAAACAAGTCCCTAACTTAATGCTAAATATCACAAAATTTTGGGGTATTACATCTGGCTTGGAAGAGCAATTCTTCTTGCTTTGAGGAGTAAGATTGGTTCTCGTTAGGTTGTTTCCATTGGTTAATACGACACTTGCTGATGTAATATCGTTCTGTGTATTAGCTTTTGGAAATATCTCCATTGATTTTGAAAAGATAAATGGTTGAGAACGCCTAATGCCCTTTAGGAAAGCATGCAGTGAACTTAAAGAGAAACCACCCATAGAACTTGTTAGCCTAGAAAGCCACTAGTGAGGTTAGGATTCCCTGTGTCTAGGTACACAAGGGGGCATTTTACATCTTACCTTACTTTCTACACTTGCAGGTATTCATTGAGTCAACCATGTCAAGTATCATGACATCCATCACGTTCATTCACGCACTTTGCCTTTCACTTTCTACTCAATACTACAT